GTAGTTGTTGGTGGGGCTATCTCAAGACAAATAACGAAGACAAAGGTTGGCTTGGTTTATGGTTCCAACTTCTCCATTGTCTTGCTCATATGAGTGATAAATTCTTTTGCTGGATAGGCAAGCCAGAAGAAAGATGACAGCTCGAAGCTTTAAAATACACAACATCAAAAAGAATTGCACACAAAGCTAATACCTCCAACTATGATACTCATCTCGAAAGAGAAATTTTATATCATCAAAAGCTCACTGGTGCAAGTTTTAAGAACATAGCATTCATAGAACATTTGGGAATTGGAGCACGAGAGCTAAATTTTTATCAGAGTATACGAGTGGACTAAAAATATTGAGATTCTCAAAGCCTCCATCAATGGTATATCAGAAAAGTTTGCCTGTATAACCAATTGTGGAAGGTACATTCCACCACTTGAAATTTCAGTGCATTCTAGATTAGATGTATATAATTTCCCAAAAGAGAGGAATTACTAAATTAGTGCCTAATGACTACACATGATTCTTGTGCTTTTGATCTTTATTCTATTTCACTTGGCTGTGAATGCATCCAAGGTTACCCTGCAGTGAAAGAGGCAGGGCTTGGTGTGTCAACCCTTTCAGACAATGATTTAGGCGTCGGTGCTGTCCTTGTTACTGACTTTTTCTCTCGGAAAACACTTCATCGTTGTACTCAGAAAGAAACCTATCAGCTGGAAATGATAATATGTATTTAGCATTGAGAGTTCAGTTAACATTTACAACAGGGCAAAGTAATTTAACCCGTCATGGATAGTCTTTGAGAGATTACTTATCGTCGAGGTTGATTTGCCTGTTAAGTAAATGTCCTTACCCAAGAGAGTCCAACACATAGGATACTGAAGCCAGGGAAATGAAAAGGAGCAGTCTCCGACAAAAATAAAGCTGGAAGAAGCACATTGTGAGGTGTATGTTTGGAATCAAGTAGCAACCTTATCGATGCTTGAGAACAGAGATTTTGAATCACCTGAAAGGGGACTAAAAATTAATGGAGAGATGACGTTGGCAAATGATGATATGCCCAATATGCATCCTTGAGCAACTCCCTGATAAATAACAAGAAAAATGGAGAACTAATGTTAAAGCGTGGTAAAAAAAACTCAAGAAGTACTTGAAATATTGAACATACGATTACAAATTTCAACTTTCAATTGATAGAGCTACTTACAACTTAGTACTTAGATATATAGCTAAAGGAACTCAATTAAACTCAGCCTGTACCTGTTCATTGTCTCCGACTTGTTTCGATATGATGCTTCTTATCTATATATTACAGGGACAATAATCATCACCTTCAGAAATCATAGTAATCAAAATAGCTGATAATAATATAGTATGAACTGTACTCACATTGGGGGTGGCCAGGAAAAGGAAAACACCAAATGCAGCAGAGGCATAAGGTACCTGCAGATCACAAAAATGATGACAGAAATGATCCATTTCTGTATTACAAAGCACCAATGCAACACAATATTTGTAGCAAGAAACGTCGGTAGTGTTATTTGCACTCTAAAATAAGCTGCTGCTTATTCTCCATAGCTAGTGAATTATGACATGCCAGAGGCTATTTCGTAGAGAAAATATCATCTCCAAAACATTCCTCTCAAGAGACATAGTAGCTGAAACAAATAACTTCCACAGAAAATTTGATACAAGGTTCCATAGGTAGTGCAACTTTATTCGGGTCAATTTCATATGTTTGACTTTATATGTTCAAGGGATTTCACACTGTAAACATGTAGTTTAGCCCCCATTTGTTTCTTATTTTTGGAAGAATGAGAATGAAAAATATAGTTATTACGGGTTTCACACAAGATATAGAAATTCAAATTTGATGGTTTGATGTGATGGATAACGGTCATATTTTTCATTTTAATGAGAAAAGAATGGGAACCAGATAGGTACTTAATGTCACTTTGGGGATAGATGAACAAGCTAAAGTGAAGAGAGGGAGAAAAGGTGAAGAAAATGTGTCACAGCGAATTGATGAGCCATACCAAAATTATTGATTATTCTAAACTTGCCATGCGGGCTTTTTTTTTGGGTAGTGTACAAAGTGCATCAGGTAGAAGCAAGAATTAGAAATGCACGAGGGTAACATGAATATTCATGTTTGAATAGCCCAATTCTTGAAACTAATTGACCTACTAAAGTAAATGTGAAATCTCATTGGCTTCTCGAATTGAGAGCTATGGGAATGATGTAAAAATTTATTCAAGGGGGCATTGAAGAGATTACCCAAGCAGACCATGCTATGCAGTCAAAAAACATCTGCAAAAAACCAGACAACCAATTATTAATGTGTAACAAACGGATCACCTCTTCCCATATTACAGAAATTTATTTTAAAGAGTGTTAATTTGATTGAAATCATTTACATTTAGAAAACCAGCAAAGAGTCCTAAAGAAAGCAACACTTCCTCTCCTATAATGGGACCAAATATAGGCATGAAGATCACCTGCGCAATTTCATAAATTTTCATGGATCAATATGTGAAACCAGATCGATACAGTGATGGCGAGAATGAGTAAAACAAGGATACAAATTTATAGGCAGTTATAACGAAAAATATCAGCAATAAGACGTTTGAAGATACATTTGATATGGTTGCTCCAATGTAGGTAATGAGCAATACATCTGCAAATTGATCTTTCATGAAGTGGAAGCGGGCCTTTAAGAAATACTGCAGGAGAGAATGTAGAACATTATCATAATATTGTTGACAACATATTTAGAAATATGGCGTGCTCACCATGTACGTGATTCATGGCTCAAACCAGAAGCACCAATTAGATCAAAGCTTTTAATAGAATCATGACTTAATGTAAGTACACAGAAAAATTGTATTTCCACTGTATTCATTCTTTTCCTGCTTTTCCATGCATAATTCCAATATCAGATGTAATCTTATTATTTTTTTTATGACCATTTAAGTCTGTCAACCTGTTGACGGGAAAAACCGCAAACAGGCATTCTCCTAAGTTTAAGACAACAGTTGTCACTCACACGTTTATCACGTTCTGCTTCACTGACTATCATATTCTTTTTGCATATAACTGTCAAGTATGCAATGGCCAAATCCCTTATACAATACTTAGCTTTGTCTTGGATGACACTTGTTTTTTAGTCTTCTGTATTAGTGGACAAAAGTTATAGGAACATACACACACACACAACAAACAAAATAAATTTTTTTTAAGGTGATGAAAAATTTCACATATCTGATATTGCATCATGTCTGATAACCAAAAATCACATGTACAGAGAAAAAAGTGAAGACCTGTAAGCAAGCTTCAAGTCCAGCCTCTGCGAGGCTATTGAAGAAAGCAATAAATGCTGCTAGTGAAAATGTAATGCTGCGTTAAGAGGATTAAAATTTCAAATTACCATCATAAAACATCCAGCAAATTGTAAAATTACTCAGAAAAGTTAAAAAATTTAAGTGCAACCCCGAAAGACAAGAAAAACAATATTACTATATTTGTAAGCATGATGAAAATTAATAGTTTCCAGTAAATACAATGAAAGTTTTTTGTCCCTCATACTAAAGAAAAATTTAGAGGTTAATCACAAATTATATGGTCTCTTAAGTTATAAGATTTTCACGCCCTTAACTTGAAAGTAATTTGAGTGCAGAAGTTTAAGAGAATATCTTCAAACTCATACAAGTTTCAACAAATCTGCCAGGTACCGATAAAATAGAAACAGAAAGTAGGCCTGATAGCAACAGCTACTCCTTAAGTCCATTATCAAATTACCATATTTCCTCTTTGGGATGTCACAGATACCACCATATTTCCTGTGATCAAAACTACCCTTAATGTACATGAGGTGACTATTGTCAATAAATTTTGATGGTGCAAAATGAAAAGTTACATAAATACCCATTTATTCAACTCTCACTTAAAGCTCCCTGTCAAATTGAATGGGAACATGACAGAAGAAGTATATCTTAGTTAGCACGTTATAATGTAGATATTAACGAGCAATATTTTCATCTGCATCAAGTTAAATGATACTAAAAGAAAGTCTTGGCAAATTATTTTAACAGAAAACCTTAAAAAAATCTATAACGAATTTCTTGGTACCAAGAGGTGTAAAAAGAATGGTACAATGATAACACAAAAATAAAAGTTCCAAGGACATATAGGTATCCTACCTACTCTTGAGCAAGCAGATTATATCCTTTGGCGACGGAATGCCCTTAAAGAAGTCTACTTTTTTTGATGATTCACTACAGGCTTGGTTGTTTTCTATTCCCTGATTCAAGATTGGCTGTTCCAAAGCATCAGTGTGGCGAGTTGTATCCTTAAGAAAGACTCTCATGTACAATGCTGCAATAATAGATATAACAGCTGAAACCTGGATGAGTTGAAGGGTAGCTTATTAGCATCAAAACTATGAGTGAGCTTTGGGAAATACGAGGAAAAAAAGGAAAATTTCCTCAGTCCTAGAAAGGAAACAAGAAACATGAATCGATGGGAAAGGGAAGACCTGAAATATCTGTGTGGTGGAGAGTAACCGAGCAGCTAACGTACCACAAACATATGCGGCAGAAACTACACCGGACAGGACTCCAAATGCGGAGACACGCTTCGCCTCAGATACAGTATCTGCCTGAGAAAATATTCAATTGACATGTTTAAATTTAATTATAAAGCAACTTACTCCATGATAAATAATACCTCAAGTTCCATATTTACCCCTCTAATTATAAGTTTGGTGGCTTTATTTACAAATGGCCTTAAAGTTAAGCACTAATTGAATTATATCTGAAAAATAAAAGATGATTAGGGCATGGAGGTTTCAATTACCAAATAGCCAAGGGCAATGCATATGACGCCACCTTGAGTAACCATGGCAGTTAAAGTCCTGAACACATAGTATGCATAGAAAAAGGTTGTTGTCCGCTTCCACGCCAAAATTACTGCATATATGTTGTCATTAGTGTGATAGACAAAGACAAACTGTAAATGAAAAATCATTACTATTTCCCAACTGGTATCGCTCTTAATTAGTTTGCTTAGAGTACAAGTTCCAGGATAATATGAGAATGGGACTGAGAAAACTTCCAGTAATGATGTATACATTCTCCCATAACACAGAATAAGTTGACAGAAGTACATAACTGATTCAGGTTCACAAGTTTAACTTCTGTGCACATCCATGGGGAATGAATGTGACACTGCTAGATAAAACCAGTAAATATTCATTATACTTTACAACCAATATTCATGATGGTGCACCTGATTAACATGTATTTCCTGTCATAACTTATGTTTTAAATATGAATAGTATGCCAAAAGTTCACTTAAACTGTAACTAATTTACATCAATAATGACTCTAGTAACTCAATTTACAGAAAAAAGAACACAAGTTCTACATGTTAAAGTCACCCGAATTTTTTATTCAAAATTACTTCTGATAAATTCATCCCACAGGCCAGCATAAAAATTGACTGCACATTGTCAGTACAATGAAAAGACAATGATGAGTGGACATATATGTTTATAAATATGTAAAACCAAATCAAAGGTACGATGTATCTACATGTGTTGCTGCTCCTTCATTAGAAACAAAAATGCTTTGAGTATTAGTTCAATTATAAAATTTATTAGTTCTACGTGTTGCTGCTCCTTCATTAGAAACAAAAATGCTTTGAGTATTAGTTCAACTATAAAATTTAATAGTCTTCTAAGTGTGATTTTCAGGACAATATTTCACCTATGATCTAAAATTAGAACTGAATGTACTCTGTCTGCATTCAATTATGACATCAATGACAACTCATCATTCCTCTGGCGATGGAATTCCACCTTAGAATGGTAGTCAAATGCTGGAACTTTCCCATGGAAGACTCATTGGATAAGCAAAACCACTTAGTATTATATACCTAGTGGAATAATGGAAAGAACAAGGGGGACAGTGAGCAAAGTTTTCCTGCCATAAGCATCGGACAGATTTCCAATTAGTGGCATCATGAATACAGACCCCAATCCAGCAATCTGCATATAATAAAATGTTCTTATAAATTTACAAATGATGCTGATAACACTCCTCCGTCGATACTTGACAAAATAATGTTTTACCCCATGCATTATAATACTAGATTTTGAGCTCAAAACTTCAAGCTCACGTGAGAAGTAGAGAGTAAGCATGAATACAGACTTTGCATAGCTCATATTTTTGGTGAATAGTATTGAATGAGAAGAACAGACTTTAAGCTTTTCCAATAAATGAACAGAAGTTGACCAACCTCACTGAATCGGCTGGAATTGGTCAATGGTTAGGACTAGTTTCCCATAGCTGTGGTAATTCGGTGACATTTAACTGGAAAAATTGCATTTTTTTGCTTTGTAGCTACTCAAGTCCAAATAGTGTGATGCAGGGTAAAATCAATTTTAGTATAAATTGATGATCAGCTGCTAGTTTATCCACATGTTATATTTGCAATTGTCTGTAACAGTTTATAGTCCAGTTGTACTTCTTATAATGTACACTCATCAGATACATTATGAGAAACCAAAAATTTACCACTTTTCTCCTTTCTATTTATACAAACAGATCATCATACTATTATTTTGGAGACCCTTTTTTACAACTAAGTTGGCCCATTGAGCTCTATCATTCAACTCAATTACTTCAGACTTTATCAGTATATCAATCCATCGAGTAGATCTCCTAATCTACAAGTCCACCTGTTAACCAAAATCTAGATTGCACTTGCAAGG